ATACATACATACATACATACCTGGGAAGTTGAACGCCTCTCATTTCATGGTGTGTTCGGCAAACGCTCGCGTTTCTCAAATGCCTGTTTTTTTATCGGAGCCCTCGTACTTCAGGGCAGGGGTCCCTGAAGCCCCGGGGTTCTTCAGGGCAGCATCCCTGAAGCCACGCAGCCGTGGGCTGATGCGAGCATGTGTTGTCCCCTCGAAGATCCTCTCACCCGGGGTTATGCTAGCTTTAGCGTAGTTTATGTACCGTAGTTTAAACTTCGAATAGGTGCGGATCAGAGTTTTGCTCTCACCACACTCGCAATTGGATCGTATAGAAGCTTCGGATTTCACAATCGGTGATCATGTGCAGGATCGTAGCATTAAAGATCGAAATATATAGATCTCTTCTCTTTCACCAAGCCTTGCCGTCATGTGCTTTCGTGCGCTTCATCAAGCTGAACTACTTGCTGCAGGGCTCAGCTGGCATGTGTTCCGGACATCGGTTTTTTTCACTTCACGCCGAATTGAGCGCGACAGGTCGATCCAATGGAGCTCTTCGGCGGCTTCGCGTAGAACAGCCTGGCGGACAGGTGTGCCGACCCCCGTTTGTCTTTCCAGCTCTGCGCGGGAGTTAGAACTGCGGTTGCGTGTTGGTTGCTTAACTTAAGATATGATCGCAGTTGGGGTTCAAGGTCAGGGCTTTTTCTGGTGATGTCCAAACTTAGCTTTCTATGCTGCTGCCAAGCCTGGGAAGGGCACCGAATCTTGCGCAAACGCGCAAGAGCTCGAATGACACTGGTACAGGATTACAAAGGCAGGAGCCACATCAGCCCGTCGCTCGACAATTTGAAGTTCAACGAACCAGTTCTCAGACCGTTTACCAGAGCTATGGCGGAGGCAGGCAGGATCCACAAACCACTTCGGATGATCAAAGCGGCTGTTGAGAAGTTTTACTCGCGTGAAATCGATGAGATGGTGGATACTCCTGAAACGACAGAGATGAAGCTCCGCAGAGAAAGGAATATAAACAAAAGTGCTAAAGCAATCCTTTCAATGCTGTCTGTGATCAAACGAAAGTGGACGAAATGGGAGATCCCGCGTGAGACATGGACATGACATTAAGGTTTTCGAGATTTTTTACGTTGTGCTGAAACTCTAGGGCATGCATTTAGCTGAGGTTCGGATCCTAGCTGTGACATTATGAACACACACGCAACGTACCATGCACACATGTTTCAGGACGAGGCCATTCGCAACATGGTTTTGGACTTGGCAAAGGCTGTTGATACAGCTTATTCTGATTCTCAGTCCAACACAGCATACATGTTGTAATTTGTTAAGTCATGAGAGATTTACTCCGTAGATGCACTGCTTTTGCATGTTTGCGGTTTCGCTGTGCTGCTTCCTTGATGTCCCCTTGCTCAATCCAGGAAGGCCGCTGTGCACTAGCCCGATCGCCCCGGCAGCCTGCAGCTAGAGTTACCGAAGAGGAGTTGTCAGAAAGTATGGACGACGAGTCGCTTAGGGCGGATCTTGCCTCGTTGTCCTCCCGGAGTGGCACCCGAGAGCGCGGCAGCTCTCTGGAGTCTTTTTTGACGGCCCCCCCACGAGAGGAGCTGGAACGTCTCCTCGGCTTTAGCTTGGATCCAGCTACCTATCAGAAAATCAAGAAGGCAGCTGGGGCTTCAGATGAGCAGAAGCCGCCGGAGCAGACGGTGCGGCCGGATGAGACGGTGCCGCCGGAGCAGACGGTGCCGCCGGAGCAGACGGTGCCGCCGGCTGCCGTAGTTGAGGCCTCTTCTCGCGAAGAGCTTCCCCTTCCGGAGGAGACAGCCTCTCTGCCACTACCCGAGCCCGAGGAGACGAACGCACCCAGCTCTTTGGTGCAGGCATCACAAGGCGAGAGCCCGCCGAAGCCGCAACCTCCATTGTCTCCTGGAAGTCCTGTCGAGCCTTGATTAGGACAAGAAGTGTAAGTACGGTACGTGGTTTCATGTGTACTTTTCCACCAAGTCTAATTGCTACATGCCTTGGCAGAGTTGTTTTGTTTGTGTGAATTGAGGAGATTCTTTCCTGGAAGCCGGCCCCTAGAGGTGGCCTTCCGAAGAGTTCCCCTTCAACAGGGTTGGCCAGCCAGCTTGCAGCTTTGAACCCGGCAAAGCTGAAGGAGCTTCTGGCAGTGGTGAACCAGAAGTAGCGTCGTTGCAGTCATTGGTCTAGGTGCTGCTTTCCATGATTGAGTGAGATCGATCGAGTGTTTGCTTGCAATCATGCTCCGTTTTTTTTAAAAAACGGGTGCACCAAGGCTGAAGGCTGGGGCAAAGGATTTCATTGTCGAGGGAGGTCGTGATCCGACACGGCGCAAGCTGTTCGATGGCGCTTCCGATGGTGAGGGCTCTACTTCAGCCGGGAGTTCAGGTGAGACGTTTGAAGATTCATGAGAGTCCATGCAATTCGTAATTTGCATTGAATGCATAGATTCGGTTGCCAGGTTCGGTATCCAATCCGGACCAGCTGGAGACCCAGCCTTGGGGTTTGCAGGAGCCCGAAGCCTACATCAATGATTGGCTGGCTGCTGAGCGCGCTCAGCATTCAGCTAGGGTTGATGCGGCTAGACGGAAGGAAGCTGAGCAGCAGGCCGAGCGCAACAAGCTTGAACAAGAAGGGCTTGAGGATGCCAAGAAGCGTCGCTTGCAGCGGGCAGCGGCCATGATCGAGGAGGAGCACGAGAAACCGGCCACGAGGCAAAAATTGAATTTGAATTCTGGTGACATGTCATGGAGCTTCGCATGTGTAGTTGGGCACTTGCAAAAAGGACGTACCACAGAGGACTGCAAATTGGCCAGCCTCTGTGGGAAAGTCATTTCGATGTGGACCCATGATCCTCATGTTGTCGATGTGTTCTGAGGCTGCCATGGTGCTCACACGACAGCAACAGCTTGGTTTGTCTGCCGGCAAGAAGGGCAAGTTGCCGCAGGCCGACGAGGCCCCCGCCAAGGACAAGGGCGACGTTGGCGACGAAGCTGAAGGTGACGATGACCAGGAGCCGGCCCCCAAGAAGGCCAAGGCCAAGGCCGTTGCGAAGTGCAAAGCTAAGGCTAAGGCCACAGCAAAGGCCAAGGCCAAATCTGTGGCCAAGGCTAAAGCTGTACCCAAGCGCTGTGGTGGGAAAAAGCCGAAGGCTTCCGAGTGTGACGAGGATGGCGACCATTCGGGTGACGATGAGGTCAGGCCTGCCCCTTCGGTCCCGATGAAGTCGAGAAAGCTTCTGAGGAAGTCGACGAAGCGCCGGTTGATCGCCAAGGGCAAGAAGGGTAAGAAAAAGGCCAAGGCAGCGGTAGCTGCTGACGACGACTGGACCGAGTATTACGGTGATGATTGGTGGGGTCCTGAGGAGGCTCCCCCTGCTCCTGCTAAGTCTGTTGGTGCGAAGAAGAAGCAGACCGTCAAGACGCAGGAGCCGGAGCCGGATGAGGGAGAAGAAGAAGAGGCCCAGGAGGATGACGAGGAGGCGGACGAGCCCGAGAGTGTCGGCACGTTTGCCCGCCGGTATTGCCCCGCACGCCCGCTCTACAAAGCCAAGTGGATGGCGATAAGGGGTGCATTCCAGACCCGCATCAGGCCCTTCGTGATCTACCCGTGCAAGTTGGAGGACTCTACACAGTTCGTCTTGCATACTCATGCATGCATGCATGCATGCTCCAGCTGCTCTTTGGGGAGTTGTGCAATAGTTGCATATATGGTCTGTAGCCGCTTGCAGGATGACTTCTGGAAGTACGTGGCCAAGGCTACAAAGGAGGACAAGATCAAGGACCCAGAGGCTTGGGAGAGGGTGGCCAAGAACTTCACTTTTTCCTTTTTGATGGACGATGGCATCAGTATCTTGAATTGCACGTATTTGTTCTGCCGTCATGCCTAAATTCTGCACATGTCCCAGCTCTAGAATCTCTAGAATCTCCGAGGCAAGACATGGTCCAGTGATGGGGACGAGCTCTTCAATGGTAGAAAAAAGGTTACCCTGAAGAGATACGAGGCCGCACTTCAAGCTCACTGATGTGTTTATCGAGTGGCGCAGTGATTCAGTGCAGAGGGGGACCGTGGGGAAAACAACCTCCTGCTGCACTTGAATGCACAAAGCTTTGGCCTCGGCCCCTGGTTTTGGATGCACCCGGCAGCCAGCACGCACCTCAAAGCATCAGAGAAGTTCAAATTTTAAGGCTATGTGGTTTGTAGCTTGTCAATCAGGGAGTGCATATTCAGCCATACAACAAACCTATCTACGCTCATAGTGTTGGCTGCCTGTGCGGATCCACACAGAAGCGGGTCCTCTTTGAAGCTTCAATCTATTCCATGCAGTGCACCGCTCGCACTCAGCACTCTCCCGTCGAAAATGCTCCGATTCAGTGCGCTGCATGTTTGCACTCTTGAACACGGTCTTTGCTAGATGCAATCCTTCCGAAGTTTGCCTGTGTGCAGCCGAGACCCCATATCCCCATGCAGCACAGTGTTGCATATCACTCGATCCTTCCATCGCGCAGGGGATGCCATCTCGTGGTCGTGATCCTCGCGACTACGACAGCCAAGACACTCTCGAGTCGTCTTCAGGCACGATTGCAAGGGGAGGCACTGTACTTTTCAGATTGGCCGCTCTGTGCATGTAGACCACAATCACGGGATGCCAGTCACTTGCCAGTACTTGTCATGTTCAAGCCTAGAGTGTCAGTGCTGCAGCTTTGTGGTTTTGAGCTCTGCAGCCCCACGGTACGATCGCACTTAAGTGCATGCAAGTGCATTTGCTTTATGATCGGTCGCTATTCCGGAGCAACTTCTGCTTCCAGCCCAACCCTGCCGGTCCTTGTGTCGCCATGCAGCCACTCCAGCTTGTTGAGAACCTCATAAAGCTTCAAGCTCCGAAGGCCGGGTATAGGGGCCCACGTACTTCTGCAGGGATTTTCTGTAGTGCCGCACATGCTCTCTTCAAGAATCAGGCTTTGTGTGTATACGCCCATGCAATCTAATGATCTAATGGTCCGACAGTCGAAGCCGAAACCTGTTCGATCCTAACGCATTATCTATAATGTTTAAATTCGGCTGCATTATAGGACACATGTTCCTGCATGAGCGGCCTGAGTGTCACGCGTCCAATGCAGGTCTTCATCCTCGCGGTGCTGTGCCTGCTGTTCAACGAGCGCTTCAGGTCTCAGAAGGACTGCAGCGGGGAATTCATGAAGCCGGGGCGTGTTCTGCTTGGGCCTTGTTGTTCGGTTGAGGAATTTGTGTTCGTGGAGCACTACGCGGGTTCCAAGACAATGTCTGGGGAGATCGGGTCGACGTATGGGCGAACCGCAGCATTGGACATCGAATTTCACCGTGGAATGGATATTCTATCTCCAGTCGGCTTTGCGAGCGAGACTAAGTCGTCACGCGTGTATTCACAGTGAGTCGTTCATGCAATCTGCATACTAGCTATATAGTATGTACTATACTATACGTACTGAATATTGCACGGGAACCCAGGCTCCACATTCTGTCCATCCTCTACGGACGTGGCTCAGGCTTCGCATTGTGGTCAGGCCTCCAATGTTCCTCTTGGGTATCTATCTGCCGGAACAGCACAAAGAGAAACTTCCTGAATCCTTCTGGAGATACAACAGCCCCTTCTGTGGTCATGGGAAATCAGCAGCTGTGCAGGAGACCTTGTGTTGTGATCCCTCAACCTAGTCTGAGCTGAGAATTTTCAAGTAGGTGCAAGCCCTAGTAAAGCGTGGTTCCACAGGCCTCGAGTGCCCGAAGAAAAAGCAGCAAGCCGGGTGCCTGCCTCGGTAGGACGATCCTATTGTCACTGCTGTGTGTGGCCCGGGGAGCTCACTGGGTCATCGAGCAGCCTGGGTCTTCCTTGATATGGCGACATCCCCGATTCCAGCGGTTTTGCAAGGTTCATAAGGCCCGGCCTGTGTTTGGAAGCACCCAAAGTACTGACAATTTGAAGCATTCCCTCCTCCCTTCCTCCTTCAATCCTTAACCGAGTTAACTCCTGCCGATCCCAAAGGTCTTTAGATGCCGATTCTGGATGATGCACTACAATCACAAGTGTCCAAAGAGGACGGTTTTATGGAGCTCGAGCCGGAAAGTCTTGAACTTCGACAAGGGTAGATTGAGTGCCCAGAGCAAGACAAGCTATCGGAAGCTTCATGGTAACTTTCAGGTTGTCACTCGTAAAGCTGCAAAAGATGGTGGGATGAAGTATTCTGGAAATACCTTGTTGAAACCAACGCAGAAGCTTGGTCATACTTCTGTATGGTTTATTTCATCGATCGCTGGGTGTCATATACCCACACAGACCCTAAACCCTACAAGGCCCAACCTTGTACACCAGATGTATACCCTCCATTCGAGATATGTAATTAAAGCCCCGTAAGACCCAACCGAAGCAAGCACATCCCACCAAAGATCCCATCCTTTCCGAGGAAATACACGAAGGAGTTTGCCCGCCGCATGGTCGAGCTCTTCCCGTCGTTCACTGAGTCCCCGGCTCTGCGTGCCACCTCCATGCTAGATGCCTCGACGAGGGATAAGCTTCGGAACATGGACATGGGTCCAGACGATTGGTTGGAAGCTGGTGTTCCGGAACTACTGCAGTACGTTTACGGAGCTAAGGGGTTGGTCATCCCTCCAGAATGGAGAGAGTGCTTCCCCGCAAAGTATTTTCAGTAGCAGGGAGCTGCCAGCACTCATCGTGTGTAGCATGCGCTATCATACCGGGCCCACTTTAGCTTAATGCATCCTAGGTGAGCCTCAGAAGCCTTCATCTCTGTGCCGGCAGAATTTTGTAGAGGTTCCGATGTTTTGATTGTCGGAGTGCAGTCCCCAAGAGCTTCATGCTAACAATTCTTGTAGGCCTGACAATCTCCTCGAGAACCAAACCCTTGGGCTGTTCAGGTCTCCCCAGAGCTGCAGGTTTACTGTTGTGAATGTATAGAATTGCACCCCTAAGCCCTAAACCCCTAAACCCCTTAGCCCCTAAACCCCTATAAGCCCTAAACTTAAACCCTA